GGTGTTTACTCCTTTCCTGGCTTGTGCTCTGGTCTATGAGCACTCTTTTCTGTCTTGGAACCTCGAGGAGGGTTTCCTCTCCACAGCCACTACAAGCTCCACCATGCCAGTGCTCCTCCTCTCCCCAGGATCGCCAGCCAGAACTGTGGCCCAGATCCAAGCACGGGCAAAACAAGAGAATCCTGCACCAGCAGAGAGATCCTTGCAATTCCCCTCTGATCAGCCACTTGATTCCCCCTCAGTCTGTGGGCCAGAAGCTCAGGAGGCAGCCTCCATCCCAGGTCTGGAACCCCACTGTGCTTCTCTCTCAGCACCATAGAAACAGACTTTTCCCACTGACCTTCTAAGTTGTCTTTGGTGTTTGTGGGTTGAGAAGTCTGGAAACCACCACAGCTGCCTGTGATTCAGTCCTCTGAGGCCTGCTCCAGGTTTGCTGTGGCCTGTGCGCCCATGCCATTCTGTGCTCCTCTCCCCGCCTAGCTTGATACACCTTTCTGATTGACCGTCCAGGCTGTCTTGGGCTGGAAATTTGTTTCACTCTGTCTTTTTGTGGGTTCTGCTGCTTTAGAATTTGTTTAGAGCCATTTTTATAGGTATTTGGAGGGATTTGGGGGACAGCTCAAGCAAGTCACTGCTTTCCCTCTGCCATCTTGGCTCTGCCCCTCTGTTTCTGATCTTTTAAAAAAATGAGTTGAGTTCTGCTAATTGTTTCTGTGCTTGTGTGGTACAGTGGATAGAACACTAGACTTGGAATCAGGAAGTACTGCGTTAAAATTCAGTCTTAGGCACTTACTTACTGTATGACCCTGAGCAAATCACTTAAACCTCTATTTGCATCAGCTTCCTCATCTTTAAAAAAGGGATAATAATAGCACTTACTACTCAGTTGCTGTAAGGACCAAACAAGATAATATTTGTAAACTGCTTATTGCACAGTGCCTGGCACATAGTAGACGTTTATTAAGTGCTTATTTCCTTCTCCTCCCTCTTATTAGCAAAAGTGCTGATGAGAAATGTAGTTTTTCACAGATGGAAGGAAGGGCTGAAGTATCATGAGAGGTTGAAGTTGGGCAGGATGGGAAAAGTCTGATAACTTTTGAACTCCACTGAGAAAGGAGCCTAGAGGTGCAGACATGTACCAGCAATGAGCTAATTGCAAAGGGAGGGCACTGCTATCCCTGAACTGAATGTAATCCTGAGTACTTTGACCCTTGTCTGGCTTACTGACCCGTTTAAGAAAAGATATACCTGGATAGAATTCTGTGCTTTCCCTGACTGCCACTGTTACTACCACCTGATAAATTTTTCCCCTTTCTCATTTCATCCCCCTCCTCTGCCTCATAGTTGCATGGAGAATTGGCCTTGCTTATCCTTGGGACTGTCCAACTCCCTTTAAACTTTATTTGTTGTATATACTTTTATAGTGGGTTTATCTCCAGATAATTAAGTTGATTATTATTGCATTCTTAGAAACTGTTTGCTATAAAGGGTGGACCATACAATGAGGAAGGGAAAAAGGGAACCCATGGACTCAATAGAATTAACCTTGGTCTTATATTAAGGTGTACTCTTCTTTCCTCCCTCCTTCCCCCACTCTTTTTCCACAAAAATGAGGCCATTGATGGCTTCCACTTCCCAATTTCCCTGGAAGCCCATGAGGATGAAAGAGATAATGATGTCCACAATATACTTAGTAATCTTTGGAGAATGACGGTACTGCAGCTAAACAGAAAGAATTTCTAATTGCTTTTCTTATCTTTCTTTTAACAGAATCTTCATCTTTTTTTCTTGCTAATTTTCATTTCTCTTGCAGACAAAACATACTTGTTGAGCATCAATTTGCTGGAGAAGATAAGAGAAGACTGGCAGGATGAACACAGCAAAGCCTGTGAGGTAAATCTGTCAAGAAATTGCTTGGGATGGGAGGAGCTGCCTCTGAAAACTAACATACACGCAAGCAGAGGCTTTTCTCTACAATGATAGACACTTCAATTGCTATAGAATTGTAAGATGTAGGGGTGGAAAAGAACCTTATAGGTCATATAGGATGATTGCCTAGATGCCTCTTATTGACTCTCTTTTGAGAGATGATATAGAGGACCAGAGAGAGGATAGGATTTGCCCAAGGTCACAAAGGTGGAAGAATTTGCACTAGACTTCAAATTTCCTGATTCCCAGTTCTTTCTGCTTAAACTTTCAGAATATTAAGGTAAATAGAACCTGGCTTTCTGTTTTCAATTTTTTCTCCTTCAGTCTCTTCTAACATTTCTTAGAACATATTCCTTTCCTTTCAATTATATTCAGGATTTTTGAATAGAGTTTATTCTCAATCATTCACAGCAAAGGAAAGGATTGAAGCTTGGGTGCTGGTAAATATAAAATAGCAGCTAATCCAAAAGTAATTTCTATTTATTCTGGGAATGTCTGCAAATAAACATACATGCATACATGCATAAACACATATGTACATACATACATATATGCAAATGTGTGTATAGGTTGCCTTTGAAGACCAGAGGACCTGGCATCAAGTCTGCCATGACTCATACTGCTGAGCTCATGATTTGCATCTATAGAGGGAGTTTACATACCAGAAGTTTCCCCAAACCAAGAAAATCACAGGTCCAGGCATCTTTTTTCTCAATTTAGAAGATTTTGATATGTTATGCAGTTGATTCAGTCATGTCCAACTCTTCGTGACCCCATTTGGAGTTTTTTTGGCAAGGATAATGGATTGGCTTGCCATTCCTTTCTCCAGCTCATTTTAAAGATGAGGAACTGAGGCAAACAGGGTTAAGTGACTTACTCAAGTTCATCTAGCTAGTAAGTGTCTAGAGGCCAGATTTGAACTCATAAAGATGAGTCTTTCTGATTTCAGGCCCAGTACTGTATCCACTGTGCCACCTAGCTGCCCACATATTGATACTCTATAGATGTAGATATAAAATGAACTATATATATATATATGTATCTATATGCCAATCTCTATCTATCTATCTATCTATCTATCTATCTATCTATCTACCTACTTTCTAATTATCTATTGGTATATATACTAAGAGGCATCTGGGAAGTGCAGTGGATAGAGTGCTGGGCTTAGGGTCAGGAAGACCTAAGTTCAAATCCCAGCTCAAACCCCTACTAGCTATATTACCTTGGGGAAGTCACTTAACCTTAGTTAAGTTTGCCTTAGTTTCCTCAATTGTAAAATAAGAATAATAATAGTACCTACTTCCCAGGGTTTTTGTGAGGATCAAATGAAATAATGTTTGTAAAGCATTTAGCACAATGCCTGGCACACAGTAGGCACTATATAAATACTAGCTGTTATCATCACCATTACCACCACCACCACCATCATCATCATCATATTAGGAATATAAATTGGCTACATGAATTTTTAGAATAGTTTCCCTCCTATCCCTCCAAGTCTCAACCATGCCCTCAGTTCTGATCAAACCTTCCATCAGCCATCTAACATTTGTGGAGATGGGAGAAAGAGGAAACACCACAAAAAGAATTCAAGGGATAGTAAGTAAAGGTTTCATAGGAAAGAAAGGCAAAGTAGTTGTTTAGATTAATTTATACTCATTCAAAATAAAAAATATTTGAATTTGTATTGTCAACTTTTAAAATGTCTTTCATATGCATTCTCATTATATCCTTAGAACAACCCTATGAGGTACATGGGCTAGGTGATGTTTTCCACATTTTATAGATGTAGAAATTAAGGCAGAGGGTAAAGAAGCATATTTTCCCGAGTTGCACAACATCAGTGGCTAAGCCAAGACTGTAATCGAAATCATCTGGCCTAGTCCAAGGGTTTTTTTTTTTTTTTTAACCACGTCCCATTGTCTCTCAAAAGTGGGGGTGGGTGGGTGAAATTAATTCTACTAAAATAAAAAAAAACTAGAGTTTTATGTCCTTTCCTCCCCACACTGTTTCTGATTATAATTGTTATTAAAATTAATTTTCATTCTCTCAGTAAATAACCAAATGGTAGAAGGGAATTGGCCTAGGAGTTTACTGGGTGATGGAAGGAAGCCAGTTTGGGTTTAATTACACAAATTGGGCAATGCACACTGATCACTGAGAGTTTTTTTGTGTTCCTTAAGTCACTGCTGATCTAAAGAGTACATCACACCATACCCTTTCCCTGCATAAATGTATACTTCAATTTATATCTCTTTAGTTCTTTGAGATTCAAGAATGTGAACGAATAAACTATTTCCGGAATGCGTTGTGGCAACACATGAATCAGCTCTCACTTCAATGTGTCATAAGTGATGAGGTAAGCAGGCCAGCATCATTTCCAGACCTGTTAGGTAGATATTGTACTAAGTTATGGAATCTTAGAACTGCAAGCATGGTGAAGTAGAGAGCTGGATTTGTAGTCAAAAGACCTGAGTTCAAGTTCTGGCCTTCTACTTACCTGTATGTCCTTGGGCAAGTTAAGTAGCCTCCTTGGGCTTCAGTTTCATTATATGCAAAAGGACAGGAGATCATACCCAATGAACTACCTCTAAGGTGCCTTCTAGTTCTAGATCTCCTATCCTATGGAAGATAGGTCATCTAGTCTAGGCCTTCATTTTACAGATGAGACAACTGAGACCCAGAAAAGGGAAGTGACTTGTTTATACTTACATACTTGTATAACCTAAATTAAAATCAAGATCTTTTGTCTCCTAGCCTAATGCTCCTATCTGAAGACATCTTTAGCTATAGATAGTAGAATTCAATTGTCTAAGCTTTTTCTTTCTAAACTTAATAAGCATCAACAAAAACAAAGAAGCATTCAAAATAAGTAATAAAATCATGAATAAAACTATAAACATTGTATCCCATACATTGTAACAAAGAACACAGCAAATTAACAAATGCATGCCTGAAAAGAGAAATATGGTCATTGTCTCTTTCATTCCCTGATCTTTAAAGAGAAGAGGGGCCTTGAAGTGTGGATGTTGAAGCATCTAAACAGCCAGGGGATCATTTAAGGGATGCTTGTTTATTTGAAATGTATCCCAAGCTCTTCTTACGTAAGATGGATTCATCAAGGACTGGAAACTCTGAAATGGGGGTTGCTGCCACTCTTGTAAGCACAGCTCTGTCTAGGGCGTCAGGCTATGAAGAAACTTTAAATTCAGATATTATGTACTAGACCATAAAACTTGCATTTGCCATGACATCTCTCTTGCCTCGTGGGCTTTTATTGTGGTCAACTCTCCGTCTTGGAAATCTGACTGTAGCACCCATGATGTGCATTGTATTATGCTAGGTGCCTTAGAGCATACAAAGCATCATAAGGCAGAGTTGCTGCCTTGAAAGAGTTGGCTGGGGAAATGAGACACATATGTACAGAAAGTTAAGTAAAAATATGAAAGTTCCATAACATTGTAAGACAACAGCACCAGAGATGTCACAAGGCACGGGGGGAGCAAGTGTCAAATAAGTATCTTATAGCTATAGTCCTTAAAATGTATTCTGGGGACCCAAAGGGCCTCCAAGACCCTGTTGGGGGTCCACAGGGTTAAAACTACTTTCATAATAATGCTAAAATGTTTTAATTTCTAATATTGTAAATGTCGATGGACATAACTCACATAAACAAAAGCTCCTTGGGGTCCTCAATAATTTTTAAGAGAGTAAAGGGGTCCTAAGATCAAAAAGTTTAAGACATGATGGTTTAGAGCAAGAGATGTTATGAATTCACCATGAAGGAGAAAATGACATTGAAAGACAACTCCACCTCTGAAGATTAGTTTAGGGTCCAGGTCACTCTTAGGAGGTTTAGGCCCAGGGCAGAGAGGCCAGGTTTGGTTAGATTCTGTTAGGAGCATGGTCAAGTCCTAAAAAGGTTCCATTTTGGTCTAGAAGATCTGTAATGGCCACTAAGTGGCCTTAAGCAGACTTGAGCCTCTTGGACAGTCCCAGAATGACTCTAGTTTTCCATTGACAACAATAGATTGGATATCAGTGCAGAATCAGACCAGAATGGATTATCACTGCTCTGCCTCTATCCTTATCTAGTGCAGGGATTATGGATCTCAAGCTGGAAGGGACCTTAGAGCCCATCTCATCCAAAGCTCTCATTTTATAGATGAAGATACTATGGTGAGAAGATTTGTTGAGGGTTTCACAGCAAGCAAATGTCAGGGGCAGGATATGAAGAATCCAGGTATTCCTGAAATTCTAGACCTGCCATCTACTAGAGAAAAAGCTTTCGGTCCCAGTTTTCTCTGGACTAACACCAGACTTAACCTGAATGTTCCTTTCTGGTCATAAAATCACCCTTCTCACCAGTAATACAATAGCCTTAATCATATTAGGCATAACGAAGACAGGCTTTGTGAATGAAGAGAAGGGTACTAATGTGAGAGAGGTCTGGGGAAGGTACAAATAGCATAATTTGTCAATTGATTGGGTATATGGCGTGAGTGATAGTGAAGAAATAAGTCTGACACTAAGGTTGAAAACCTGCATGATGGGAAGGATGGCACTACCCTCAATAGAAAGAGGAAGATTGAGGAGTGAGATGAGTTTAGGGTGAGTAGGTAACACATTTTGTTAGAGAGGGAATTTCAGAGTTCAAGATCTTTGATGAAGTCTTTGTCCAGTGATGTTCATGTTTTAGGTTGTGCTGATGAGTGGTTCAATTAGAGTAGTGAATTGAGGTCATAGAGATAGGATGGAAATTTTTATTTCAAAGTAAAATTGTAATGAAATTTTTGTGTCAATTGATACTGTGAGACTAATATAATGGAAAGGTCATTACCAATGACATTGAAAGATTTTACCAAGTTATTCTCTTTTTAACAAACAAAATCTGGAAAGAAATACCAGTTATTTAGTGAATCTCCTATGTGAATGAATAGTGTCACTGCTGATGGAGTTACTGTGCCTTTTGATTTATCTGCTTCTCTTTTACTAGATGTTTGAAGAAGTCCGTAAAAGTTTAGAAATGTGTAGCATTGAAAGGGACATTGACTATTTTGTAGCTCAGAGAAGGACTGGACAAGTGCCGCCAGGTAAGTAGTTCAATGGGGGTTATTGAAGCAGTCCTAGGAGCAGCATGCCTTTTGTGCAACCTATGTTTATTTTGGAGAATTGCCCTTTAATATCCTATTTCTTGATGACTTTTACAGCACCTATTTTGTATGAGAATTTCTATAACTCCCAGAAAAATCCAGTACCAGGACGAAATCCAGGACCTAATGTAGGAAGGTAATAATGGACTAGTTGCTCTTACCTTGCTCTGGAGACAAACCATTTCTTAAAAACTTATTTATATTGGTATCTTTTGTTTCCATATACCCTCATTTACAAATATATCTCTCTCCCTTTCCTGCCCAGTGAAACATCACTTGTAACAAAGTTTAAAAATGGAAGAAGGGGGAAAAAGTTCAGCAAACCCAATCAACACATCAATTATGTCTGACAGTATGTGTAGTACCCCCTACATCTGCAAAGAGTGGAGGGAGGTATGATTCTGTGGCCAAGCTTGATCGTAATAATTACATAGCTTTCAGCTTTGGTTTAGTTTTTGAAAAAAAAATTGTAACAAACTTTTTCCCTCTTAATTTCTTAGGGTGGATTTAAATTGATAACTTACCCACTGTATTCTCTAGGTGACATTACTAGAGATTTAGCCGTGGGGCATTTAGACATTAAGGTATGAAATAAGAAGGAGGTTCAGTAATTTCACTGTTCCCTTCAAACTTAGTTCAGGTAGAACTACAAAAGATACTTCAACTTCAAGTTACTGTTGTTATGCATTTAATGAATGCTCAATTGTACACATGATTCATTGATTTGGGAGTTTCCTTCAGTAATGTAGATTGCAGCCCATCCGTGCCTGCCTATCCTGTGCAGATTTTATGTCTGTCTTCCCATATGCTCCCTATAGTAACCCAGCCCAATGGAATAGAAGCATTCCTCACTTTCTCCGGATGTCACAAGGGTACTGGTAGAGAATTCTTGCTGTCTGTTCACCTGTTATCTTCTCTCATTCTTGTCTCATGACCCGACCATCCTTTCTTCTTCATACATTTCTTTGATGACATTCTTTATGCCTGTTCTTCTTCAGAACTCCTCCTTGGTTATACTTTCAGGCTGCCCAGACCCACTCTGTACCTCTTCATTACCCTCTGTGTGATATTAATTTTTAACTCCTTGAGGACAGCTGTATTCCCTGGCTTGCTGTAGTATAGCAACACTGGTTAGATGTTGGTGTTAAAATGATGGGCCTTTGTTTTCATTATGTAATTATGAATAGGATAACTTTTTATCATTACATGTTCTAGAAAGTACACAAATGTGTCCTTTGTCTGACAGGAGGTCAGCTCTGGAGTGCAGTATATCCAAATTTCTGAAGTCTTAGTTTTATTTCAGTTGAGTTTGGAGGGCTCTTGATCCATGCTGGGCTAAGGGTAGTCACAGCATTAACATCTGAAGCATAGATTCCGGCTGAGCCAGGCTGCACATGGATATTTTATTTAAGGTCTTACTGAAGACCTCAAACCAAAAACCAAACCTGATGCTGAATGAGGAGAGTGCAGGCTCATTGTAACCTAGAATATAACAGGATTAACATAATCCAAAGAGAGAATGACATTTAATTTTCATCTCTTTTGCAGGAGAGGACCTCCACCAATTCCTCAAAATGTATCAGGTATGTCAGGATAATTCCTTCTTAAATACTTGAGTTAAATTCTCTGTAAGGTTGGTTATCTGGAATTTGGCAAATCAAAGGGAACAAGGAGCTAGTTTGTAAATTAGTTACATGAATGAAAATAAGCCTGTAACCTTGCTATAACACTATTTATGAGAATAGGGTATGTGGTTATGGCAAAACTATTTTTGTTGTCCAGCCAAAGAGATTTAGTTACTGAAGTGACCAAAGGAACTTCTTCTCAGGCAGTTTCCTCTATGAGCTACCATGAGGACAGTACAATTCTGGGGTAGTTTCCTTTGGATTATGTCCAAGGAGGGTAAATAAAGAGCCTGGGCCAGCTTATGTAGGAGGCAGATGTTCAAAAATGAAATCAATTATGCACAAATTTGTTTGCTTAGTCATGAAGAAAATAAGTCTGATTATCAGGACATTGGGCTGATTTTTCACTTCCCCCTCCCTTGTTTGAACCCTTACTGAATTAACTTACAGTTTAGACCTTAATTAATTACTCTCTAAATGTTTCTTGTGTGTGGGTTTTGTGTTGTTTAAATAAGATTTAAACAGTATTTCACAATAATTCTATCACAGTGTTCAGTACTGCCTTAGAGATAAACACATCAGATTTGCTATATTGTGAGCCCTTTGAAGGCAGATACTTCTTCCACTAGGGTTTTGCATAAGGTGGGAAGTTCATAATTCTGGGTCTTGTATTCAAGGAGTTCCAAATCTATTAAACTATATTATTATCCAGTCCACATCTATACATCTTCTCCACAAAGAGAGACTTGGTTAAATGTTTTGCAGAAATCCAGGCATACTATATCTATAACATTAATCTGCTCTCCTCCCATCAGGTAACTTTATGTATAGAAGGAAATGAGCTTAGTTTGGCATGGCCTGTTTTTGATGGACTCATGCTAATTCTTAGTGATCACTGCTTTCTTTTCAAAATGCCTTAAAGAAGGTCTTTTTAATAATGTCCCCAAATTTTGCCAGAATTTGAATTCCAGTTTAATAGTTTGTGGTTTAAAGAATTCACCTAGTGTTAAAAAATTTGGGATGTTTGTTCACCTTCATTTCTTCTTTTACAGCTCATGTTTCACAACAGCAGCTCAGCAATCTGATTGTCTCTTTTGTGTAACTCAGGGATATGACTGTTTCATATATGTCCTAAGACTGTTCTGAGAAAAGCTCTTTGTAAAACTTGAAGTGTAATGTGCAAGTTATTTTCAGTGAGAAAATATTAGCTTTGTCTTACCTTGTATTCTTTCTCTTTCACAGACGATGATGATTACTCTTTGGTGACTGAATGCAATATTATCTCTAACCAGTACCAACAGTAAGAGCATTTATTCCAAGTCTGATATTAATTTAGGCAAATTGTAGTTGTGGAGCCATTTTTTGCTACTGATAAACGTACTGAATTACTCCTGAGTGTATGGCACTGTTTAGGGGAATGCAGAGAATGCATGATAAAATAGAGAGAACATAGATCTTGAAACCCACAAACCTGAGTTTTAAGTCCTAGCTCTGACACTAGCTGAGTGACCTTGGGTAAGATACTTTACTTCTGACCATCAATTTGCTTCTCTGGTAAAATGAGGATAATAATACTTGTGCTATCTACTTCACAGGGTTGTTGTGAGGAAAAGACTTTGTAGACTATAAAGTGAATTATTATCATAATGCTAACTCATATTATACAAGTATCAATTTTTATCTCTATACTGATAGGAACTGTGTTGAATTAGATAAAAGTCTGGCCTTAGAGTCAGGAAGACCTGGTTTTAATATTGCTTCTGATGCATATAAGCTGTATGACCCTGGGCAAGTCACTTAACTTCTTGTCCCAGACAGTTCTCGAAGGAAGCTGCCAATTGGAATGATGGAAGGAACTCCATACTTGGAGTTCTCTGATGAAATCAGAGATTTGTATTCAAACCCTCTCACACTACCCTGCAAAAGAAACAAAGCCCAAACCTTTTATCCCAAGCTTACCTTTAATTCTCATGTTTAGGCAGATTTTCTTCCATCTTATATTGGTGATGTTGATTCTTTTAATCTCTCTCATTTTTGCTGGTTCATAGTATTTCTTGTATAATTCTAGAAAATAATTATATTTTATTAAATTATATTTGCTTAGTGCTTGGTACATAGTAGGTGCTTAATAAATGCTTGTTGATGGATTGACTCAGTTTAGCACTTGATTCTCTGGGTTGTTTCATTTCCTACTATTTTCTGTTTCTTTATCTTCTCTCCTCAAATAGATAAGTTATGAGGGAAGCCACAGTGCTGGGTATAGAGGGATACAAAAATGCTTACTCAATTAGAATGCCCAGCAATTTCATAAATAGAGGGGTTCAATAAATAATAATAAGAGAATTTGTTTCATGGTATCTTAAAGCAGGGAAATTAGTTCAGTTAACATTTGTACATGGAAACAATTTTAATGAATGTTTAAGCAGGGTTTGAACAAACTCTTTAGCCTTTGGAATTTAATTAAGAATAAAAGAACAATATATAAACCCATTAATTGTTTTTATTTGTTATGCACTTCATCTGGCCTGCTCATCTCTATTTCTTTAGTTGTAACATATTTAATATGCAAATAAGAACAAAATCTGGCCTGAAGATTAAAATAAATCTCAATTATCTATTTTTTGGGGGGGGACATGGTCAATACAAGAATCTATTTTGCTTGATTACAAATGTTTGTAATGTTTTTGTTTTTCTTGCTTTCCCAGTGGTAACTCTGGGAGGAGGCAGAGAAAGTGGATTTTATTTGAAAAAATATTTAATTAAATTTTATAAAAATATAAGAAATTTTTTAAAAAGCAGACATCAAAAGATGACAAAAGATTGGAATAGTCAGTGTTGGGGGGTATGGGAAGAGAGGTACACTAGTACATTGTTGGAAGAGGCATTAGAAAAAAAACAAATAATCTCAATTACCATAAAACATTGTAATTTTCAATGGCAAGATTTAGCTCAGGGCTATATACATAGTAGGAGACTAATAACTCAATTCAAATAGTTGAATAGTATAGAAAATTATATTTATCATTCTGTGTACTTGCTCCCTGCAATTTCCTTTCCTCTCTTGGAAAAATATACTTTTTTTTGCGTCTATATATATGTGATCTTGAATACACCCAGCCTCCCACATACACATGCACACATACTCTTAGTCATCTCCTACTAAAAACTGATCAGCCATGATCGTTTTCCTGTTTTAGAATGTGATTTGGTATCCTTTTTCAGGAATTGAAGACTCTCAACCTGATGCTTCTTTGACTGTACAAGGATTCAATTTGGAGCAGATCTGGCTACCATTTTGTATTAGTCATGAAGACTCTGAAGTAAACTGTTTCTTCTGTAGCTTTTAATATTTTAAATTGGTGCTCAAGTTTTTGTTCTACTTGTCATGGATGGGTTGTGAAAGTTCCTTGAAGACTCTATAAGTTCCAAACAGAAGAGATTCCTCTTCCTAATTCATGGTAGCAATTGTAGATAACCTTTTGTTTTCTACCTGGAAACTATGAAATGTTTATAGAATCTGAGAATTTAATCTTTATGTTGCAGAAACATCAGAAGAAGGGTCATCAATGCAAAAGCTCTTCTTGGTATTAGAGATAATTTTACTAAGAAAAAAGGAAGTTCTGTTATTCCTACAAGGTTTTCCATAATAGTATTATTTCATTAGTGGAGGAATAAGAATTGTAGAGTTAGAAAGGACTTTATAGATTATCTAAATCTTTTCACTTTCTAAGTGAAGAAAATAAGGCCCAGAGAGGTTATGTGATTGTCCAAGGTACAGCAGCTAATAGTAAAGTTAAGACTAAGATGTAGGCCTCCTGGTTTCCACTACACCTGTTTTCTCTCCCTCCCTTAAAGTGACCAGTAACACTATTGCTGAAATTAAAGCTAGTAAGTGTTTTTTCCAGGCTTCTTTACTGTTGAAAAAAATTTAAGGCTGGTTAGGACCTATGATTTCATAAGTGAAGGCAACCTGTGGTGTAGAAATTTTTTCTACTGACGTAGTTGAGAAACTCATTGGTAACTTGAAATCTTAAAAAAAATTGTTTGGGGTATTGAGTAATTAGGTGATTATCTTGTAATTGTCAAAGGCAGAATTTGAACCTAGCCCTTCCCAACTTTGAGGCCAGCCCTATATCTTTTATACTGCACTTTCTTTGTTGAGAATACCAACAACTAAAGTGTCATTCTTGTTTTTAAGATGAACAGTATGCAGTCTATTCACTCTTCTTCATAATAATAATTTTGTAGTTATAAAATCATTGCTAGTTGGATTTTCTCAGGGAAAAAAAAGTTTGTGTATGTGTATGTATACATATATATGTATATATGTATGTAAGTCCATCATATATCCATACATAGATGGATATTATATATATAATATATATACACTATGTATCTAACATATATATATATGTTTGTGTATGTTTTAGTATACGTACATATACATGTACACATACACTGGACTTTGGACATTCAGACATATGAACTCTATACTTCAAGTGATACTTTAGTAATCCTTCTGTGGTCCTAAGGGACCTGTGGTCCTAAGGTACTGTGGTACCCACATTGATGGGGGTGTTGTCATATAACTTCTAGAAAACTTTTAGCAACCTCAAGATGCTCAATAAATTTTAACCACCAACTTAAAATAAAATAGCATTTATATAAAACTTTTTTTCTTCAGCATGCTATAATTGTTCACACAAGGGACCCATCCATCTTATTCTGTAAACTGTAGATCGATCCTCTAGCACTTTAGTGAATTAAACTGTTTCGAAGATAATTGAATGCTTACTATTTTCTTATGCAAGTGCCTAGTGTATTTGAGGGAGGTTAGGCCAGGAAAGTTGCAGAAATTGAATATCCTTTTGTGGTAATTTCAACATAGTAAAAATGGAGAAATTAAAGTATGATAAAGATCATCACTTCCTCAAACTAAAAAATGTCAGAAAATTTTCCTATGTTGGGGAGCAATAAATAAAAAAAAAGTTTTATTTATTGTTGACTTCCTCAGTGATTTCACCTTTTTCTTTATCTATTGGAACCATAATTATATGGAGGGATTGATTTAAAGGGTTGTAAGCTTTTAAGAAATGTTAAGAATTCAATTCTATTTCACTTTCTATTTGTAAATATTTCTTGGAAAGAAAATTAAATTAAATACACTGTAGTAGTTCTTGATGTTTTGTGCGTATCTCTGAGGTATTTTTTTTACTTTCTGATTTTTCTTTCAAAGAAATTTTTCTTTTTTGATTCTGAACTATACTTATTTATTTCAAGAAATATTAATTAAGGGGGATAAGCACTGGGGAGCACTGATAAGCACATACAAAGTTTACATAAAATATACTCTTTGCTCTTCGGAGCTTACACCCAATTGAAATTAAAATTATTGCTGGGCAGTAGAAAATGAAAATATCCTCTCCTCTTGAGGCCTTCAGGTCGGAAGCCCCTAAAATATTTTAAATGAGTTAGAATCAGAGAGAGAAGAGCAGAAGTTACATAGGGTCATACAAGGAGTAAAGAGAAAGGGTGTCACATGGGGCAAAAGTGTTGAGCTTAAGAAGTACGGACAATCTTATTATTATTGTGGTTGCTGTTGTTGTTGTTGTTCAAAATCATTCCTCAAAGAGGCCAATGACATCAGGAGGGTGATGTTTTGACTTGCAAGTGAATTGGATTTAAGTGAGGCAGGGCTGTGCAAAGTCATCAGCCTCACTTTCTCTTCCAGAGTCATCAAAGTCTAGTGGCAAGGCTTAAGTCAAGATGACTGGCGATGGCCCAACAATGTTAGTAGATGGAAGCAGGGCAGACAACTATTTGACCACTTTTCTAAGTCATTTAACAACTAAAGATGTGGCAAGTGGAAATGTTTGAATAATGGAGGGGCAGTGAGGATGAGTCGATTTAAATGTTTTTCACTCCGATTTACCTTTCTGCAAAAGAGGAGACCATTAACATCTTGGACTTGAAAATTTGCCTACAGTTTTGCAAGGGTGACTAATTGTCTAAGGGATCTCAGGATTTTAGATCTTGAAAAGATTTTACAGACAAGGAAACTGAGACCGAAAGAGGTGAACCATATTGCCTAATGTCATACAAGTGGTAAAAGTAGCAGAGCCAAGTTTCTCAGCCAAGTCCTCTGACTACATACCTAGTGCTCTTCTTGCCATTATATCATACGTTAGCTGATATAGCTGTCTAGCTAGGACTAGACAGATTTCATAAGCAAATTGGCTTTTTGTCTAGAGCTGGCAGGAATCTCAGAGGACAACCAGTCCAAACCCCCTTATTTTATAGATGAGGAAACAGTTAAAATGCCTTGTCCAAGGTCACATAGGTAGTAAAATATCAAGGTGAGATTTGAACCCAGGACTCTTGGGACTCCAGGTGTCCTTTTCATTTCACCATAGTCCAGTTACATTGTTTGTTCTTTCACATATTTATAAAGTACAATTGTTAATGAGGAATCAACAAGCATTTATTAAATTATTATTGTTAGTCACTTCTAAGCATTGGGAATACGAAAAAAAGAAACACTTACCAAGTCTCAGGAGCTTAGGTTCTGTCAGGGGAGACACATAAACATATAGAATATGCAAGGTAATGGGTGGGGTGAGGAACTAGTAAAGGAGACTGGGAAGGTGTGTAAGGATAGGTAGGAGGAGAACCAACAGAGAATGGAGTTATGAAAGCCACAGAGGAGAATGTCTAGGAGGAGAGGATGCTCAACAGAGTTGAATGCTACATAGAAGCCAAGGATGGCCAGTGAGAAAAAGTCATTCAATTTGACAATTTAGTAACTTTAGAGAGAGCAATTTCAGTTGCTAAATTGGGCAGTCAGATTACAGAGGATTTAGAAGAAAAGTGAGATGAGACAGAGTCTCAAAACACCAATTATAGACAGCTTTTTTGAGTTTAGGTGAGAAAGGGAAAAGGGATAAAGGAAGAGTGGAAGATTTATTGCTTGGTGTGGCACAAGGGCTTTGGGCTCACTCTCCTAAACCCCAGCCAGCACTTGTAGGTCATATCCCCATATTAGGGCTGCTACATTGCTCATAAGCCCTCATCCAGTATGTCCCTCTCCCCTCCAGATATCAATTCCAATGAATTCCAATATTAATTCAACTAGGCCAATGAGGGCTTAGTCCTCCCATTACATCAGTATAGTGCTATGATGTTCAGTCTTATGTAGGAGGAAGAACATAGGACTGGAAAAGCCGGATTCTAGTCCCACTTCTGTTATATTGGTGAAGTTACTTGACCTACCTAAACCTTAGAATCCAGGCCTCATGTGGAACTGCAAGACCTGTAAAGTCTCATCAGTTCCTGGCACTCTGATATCTAGCTCCACCTTGCACATAGTTAGTCAGTCAGTCAAACAGTCAATTAGTCACTTAGCGTTCGCTAAATTGAAATGAATTTAATTATATGATAGTCTCGGAAAGTGAATGATAAGGTGGAAATAACATGGTGTGGGAACAAGAAAATGCCACTAGATGGCAACATAGGTTACTTGGAAACTGGCTTAGTAGGATTACAAGTGTAGAACTGGGTTTTCTTAAGATTTACAATATGAAAATTTGAGATGTATTATAGTTATAATTTTCATGAAATATTATAGTTGTAAGAGTGTATATTGTTTCTTGCTTTGAAAGTGATCAAATTTGGGAAAAAAATAAATTTTCACTAAAGTTCAAGCATTTTGGACTTGGCCTACAAGAATCTGACATTGAAAACCTGGATGGAGATATTAATTCATCCAGTAAACATTTGTTAAGCACTAAACACATGCTTTAAACTCTAATAGCTATGAACAGATACTCCTAGGGTACTTCATGGGTATCAGTAGCATCAGCTATTTGATTGTTCATGTTGGAGTATTTGGAGAGGTGAAAAAATGATGTGTTGAGTTCATTTCTCCTTCTCTTTTGTCAGTCTTAGGGAGGTGAGTATAGTAGTCTAGTGTGATTTTTTTGGGGGGGAGGTGAGAACGAGGGGAAGATCTGCTTCAGCCCTGAGCCATTATTGTCTCTCTCAATTTTAGATGAAATGACCAACCATGATTCCAGAGGACCAATGATGAAGCATTCTACTCACTCCTGAAAGAGGCAGAAGCTCACACACACACACACACACAGACACACACACAGACACACACATAAATTCACAGCTTTACCAACAATGTATTAATGTGCCTGTTTCCTACAGCCCTTCCAACATAGACATTTTTTGTCAACTTTGCCAATTGGATAATATGGTATGACCTCAGAGTTGTTTTAATTTGCATTTCTCTAGTTATTAGTGATTTGGAACGCTTTTTTGTATGGGTAGTGATAACTTGAATTTCTTTCCTTGAAAACTGCCTATTTGTTATCTTATTGTGGAATGGCTCTTATCCTTATAAATTTGAATAAATTCTTTGTTTCTTGAAAATGAGACTTTTATCAAACAAACTTTTATAAAGATTCCCTCCCTCCTCGCAATTTAACTTTTCCTTTTAATCTTAGTTGAATTGATTTTGTTTATATAACCCCTTTTCAATTTCGAGAAATCCAAATTTTCCATTTTTTTTATGATCCTGTCTATAACTCTTCCCACATCTCATAATCTCAGATAGTTTCTTCCTTGACCCTTTGTTTATAATGTGACCTTTTATATCTAAGTCATGCACCCATTTGGAGTTTACTATGGTATATGGTGTGAGGTCCTACCTCCTTCTTTTAGAGAAGAGGAAACTGAGACCCAGAGATAGAAATGATTGACCCAAGGTCAGTCAGGTAGTGATGGGGAAAAAAAGTTGCCCTGCCACTTATGTGACCTTGGTCAAAATACTTAGGTTCTCTAGGCCTTCCTCATATAAAGGGGTTGGAATAAATAATCTCCAAGTCCACTGTTCTTTACACAACAGTGATGCCCATGAAAATAAGAGTATTCCTCTAACATGTCTTTGAAGAAGCATCGTATCTATCACTCTGTGTGTTAGTGAGGAGATAGGGTGGGGATAGAAGTGCTAGTAAGTGGCTAGAAAGGAGCTAGCCTATCTATGTGGTACAGGGTTAAGGAGAGAGGGATGTGTGTGTATGTGCGTGACAGTTAAGGTGTCCATAAACTGTATGCCTGATATTTGATTAAAAAACAGTGGTTACCCTATCCTTGGCATGGAGATAAGTGGTATCTCCTGTGTTTGCTTTCTATCACACCCTCTCTGGTCTAGATTTAACCCCTCTGCACCAGCTATGAATTTATTGAACTCAATTTAGGAATTTGAAGCATTCAAAGTTTTACTCTAACACATTCTTAGAGATGTAAATTATGTTGGTTTTGCATGGAGAAGACCTTTCTCCTCTTGCTTTCTTTGAGTGGTACAAGCTAGGTAGTATACCTTAAACTGGTTTGCATTAGAGCACATACAATTACTATTTTTAAAAATAAGGTGTTATCCTCATTTCTTATCAATATTCAATAAATTCTTGACCACATTTGATATAATTATTATTCAGTATTTGTTCATCATCTTCTTTGTGACTAAGACAAGGGAAGCATGAGACATGTTCCCAAAGTTCCTCTATTAAGTTTTGAAAGCAGGGGTTACAAGTATCCTTAACATGATGGAATTTGAAGTCTTTCCATCAGGCCTTTCTTGATCTTCCTCTCTACGCAAAGGAAATCAAAAGATTTTGATCTTGAGGTAACCTTTAAAATCTAGTCTAACCCCATCATTTTGCAAAGAAGCAAACTGAGACTCTGAGAGTTTAAGTGCCACTTGAAGGTACTGTGATGTTTAAAAAGTTCAAGAGACATAGTTTCTGGGCAAATAATCATTTTATTAATAATGCTAGCATTTTATTAATAAAAGGAATGATCATTTGGCCACTTAGACCAGAAACAACTCACGGTGCTGGGCTCACAGTTTATATGCCATTGGAAGAGTGGGTGTTCCTGAGGGTAGCAATCAACTCTGATTGGCTAATAATAAATGATAGGTAGGGGCAGCTAGGTGGTGCAGTGGATAGAGCACCAGCCCTGAAGTCAGGAGGACCTAAGTTCAAATCCAGCCTCCGACCAAACATTTGACAATAGCCTGGGCAAGTCACTTAACCCTAATTGCCTAAAAAAAAAAAAAAGACAGGTGGACCTATTCTAATGAGGAACTGGGAGAGTGACATCATGTCATTATTGGATAAAGAGATTACCTCTACACCTAGACCACACATAGCCTTGAGCAACCTAGACAGAGGAATTACCTCCACTTAAATTAGCTAGAGTGGAACACAATGGGCAGGAATTAATTTTAGATTAGAAGTGTGACTTAGTTGGATAGAGTAGCAATACCCAGAATGAGGAGAATGTTAATCCTATCTTCCATTAGTCCAGTCCTTGAGAGACTTGCCTTAGGACAAAGAAATAGGGGGGATGGGAAGCTTGGGTCTCCCCAATTTTAAGAACTGGCTATTAATATGAGAGAAAAATTATCATTTCTCTCAGCATCCTCAATTGATAAAACATCTATTAAGCACCTACTATGTTTCATGCACTGGGGATACTAAAGGAGGCAAACTACAGTTCTCACCCTCAAGCAATGTTCAGTATAATGGAAGAGGCAACATGCAAACAAATATGAGTAAACAAGCAATATATTGGAATCACAGAAAATAATTAGAAAAGGGAAGGCACTAGAATTAAGAGGGGTAGGGAAAGGATTCCTGTAGAAGATGGGATTTTAGTTGGGACTGAAAGGAAGCCAGTGATATTGGATGGAAGTAAGGTGTAAGATGACTAAAAGAGGGGAAAGGGGCTAGGTTATGAGGGATTTGAATGCCAAATAAAGTATTCTGTATTTGCTCTTGAAGGCAATAGGAAGCCACTGAAATTTAGTGAGTAGGGTGTGTGTGTGTGACATGATTGGACTTGTGCTTTGGAAAAATCATTTTAGTGGCTAAATGGAGTTTGAATTGGAGTGGGGAATCATAGCTAGACCCACCTGCAGCCTGTTACAGTAGTCCAGGCATGGGAGGATGAGAGCATGCACCGGAATGGTAGCAGTGTCAGAGGAGACAAGGGACCATATGAAAGAGATTTTGCAAATGTGAAAGCAACAGGCCTTTGCAACATTTTGGGTATGGGGGTGATGAGAGATGGTGAAGAGTTGAGGATGATTCATAGGTTGACTCCCAGGGACTAGGGAACTAGGTAAAACTCAGGGACTAGCAATTCTGTTGCTCTCCATAGCAATTGGGAAGATAGGAGGTGGGGAGGTTTAGGGGGAAAGATAATGAGTTCAGTTTTGGATAATCAGTTCAGTTAAATTTGAATTTAACATATTTACTGGATACCTAGTTCAAGATGTCTGAAAGGCAGCTGAAAGGGCAAAAATGGAGATCAACTGAGAAGTTAAAGCATTATATGTAGATTTGAGAATCATCAGCATAGAGATGCTAATTAAATTTGTGGGAGCTGATGAGATCACCAAGTAGAAGAGGGGTCTAAAACAGAATGTTGGTGTGTGACACCTCTGGTTAGAGGGCATGCTTCAGATAAGGATTCAGTGGAAGAGACTGAGAAGTGAGATAAGTAGGAGAACCAGGAAGGAGTGGTGTTCCAAAAACCTAGAGTATCAAGGAGCTATCAAGGTGATCAATAGTGTCAAAGTGATGAGGATGGGAGCTAAATCCCAAAAAGGAAAAACCCTGGACTTTCGCACAGACCAAATCTCTGGTGTTTGCTTGAGGCTATAATCCCATCAACTGGCCTTTCATTGTGGCTACATCCAATCTCCCCTCCATCAGATTTTACCTCCCTATGGCCCCCAGTCATTTCCCACACTTAGTTCTAGCTAGGCTCCATTGTCCAGGTCCCAGGAGTTCTGTTCACCCTAGCTTACTGACCACTCCCATTCAGACTTGGCCACTCCTAGATCCCTCCCACAGTCTTTCTGTATATAAGGTCCATCTTGTCTCTATTAAGGTGCTCAGATAACCTAAAATCTAGCCACTGCTCTGATTCTTAGAATGTAGCCAATACCTCACAGACTCTCAGATTCCTCAAGAGCCTGGCTAATATGGCGAATCTTGAATAAACCTTGTCTTTGGCTGAAAGAAGGCTTGGGTCGAATTCTTTCCGGCAGGACTCTCGTGTTGTGATCTTGGGGTACCAGCACCCCTCACCTCTAGACCTCATCAAAAGGCTGCAGAGAGCTTGAGGAGAATGAAGATTGAGAAAGGGCCATTGGATTCAGCAATTAAGCAATCATTACACTGTAGTTTCAGTGGAATGATGAGGTCAGAAGCAGGATTGTAAAGGGTTGAGGAGAGAGTGAGAAGAGAGACAATGGAGGCATCTTTCAAAGATAGCCTTTCAAAGGAGTTCAGCCACAAAAGGTAGGAGAGATTGAAGGATAGTTAATGGGGATGGAATGATCAAGTGAAGGTTTTTTGAGGATGGAGAAGTGGGCATGTTTAGAGACAGTAGAGAAGGATAGGGAGACACAGAAAATAAGTGATAAAGTGTGGATTATAGGGAGGACAATCTGATGGAGACAATGGAATAGATGGAGGGGTTGGTCTTGGTTAAGGATTAAAGCCAACAATCTTTTCTGTAAAGTATGAGCCAAGTTTTCAGCTTAGAGTTTAGGGAGAGAGGGAAGCACGGGAGGTTTGAAGAAGAATGTGAGAAGGATTAGAAGTTAGGCTTCCACAACAAAACAAGGGAATTCTGAGGACTTCCCAGATCTTGTGGATAGTCCCTCAACTAATCAGAAAGTGCCCCAAATATTCCATAAACAACTAGTTCCTCAAGAAAGAGCCCTGGAGGCTAAACCGGTTGCAACCCCTCGGGGTCAAGGCCTCAGTCAGGACAAAGGCTTTTCTTCACTTTGCTTACTCCACAAGTTTACTGAGTATTAACTGACACACCCTGAGGGTGGAGATAGCTGCCATTTTTGAAGGTGGGATGAATGAAGTGGTAGGAGTTAACAGAACATGGAGGAACATGGGATAGGCAGTTCAGGAAGAGTGAAACTCAGTTGAACTAGACCAATCTTAGCCCTGGTGGGTGGAGCATGGATCTTACTATTTAAAATTTGATTCTACCACTGAACCAGCGCATGTGCCATATAAAAGTGTGTTGTGCCCTTTTGTCTTTTGAGAAGTGTAATAAAGGCTTTCCTTTACTCACTCCTGCAGTAGATTTTTGTTTCAGATTTTTCTAACAAGAAGAGAAAGATTCAGAAGAGCCATTATGCTGTAACTAGACACTAATTAAAAGCATTTGCAATGCATGTTTAAGAATGTCTCTAAAGAAGGTGGTCCTGGGTTCTGGAAGAAGTCAATGCTAGTAAGAGTGAAAACTCTGGCAGGTCCCAACTAATAGTTATATAATTTAGTGGTTATTATGTGCCCAGTAAGCACTGTACTAGGTTCTGGAGATGAAAAAAATAATCAAGAGTGAAATTATTCCTGCCCTCAAGGAGCTTACATTCTATAAGGGGTCACATGAAGACATATACTGAGTTAATATGGAGGAGATACAAGGTTTTTTCCCATTTCCTCATTCAAAGCCCAGTCCTAAAGAAGGCCAATGCTGATAGATAAAATTGCCCAAATCCTCTCAGTAAGGTGCTTCTCACCTCACCCAACTAGAAGACCTTACAAAAGGAACCTAATTTAGGTGAATTCTGGCTTTGAGGCCTGAGGCTGACTGGGTGGATCCCTTTTGTGCAGATTGCCCCAGGCAGGGTAGTCGGGGCATAGAGACAATTTCTTTCTCCTAAAGGGTTTATGATTAGTCAACTCCTTCAGCTCCTCATTAGAATAAGCCCACCTATCATTATAATGCTCATTCTCATTTTAAATCGAGGTTGATTTGACACCCACCCCAGAGAGGATTTTTTTTTTAGGCAATTGGGGTTAAGAGACTTGCCCGGGGTCACACAGCTAGTAAGTGTCAAGTGTTTGGTTTGAGGCCGCATTTGAACTCAGGTCCTCCTGATTTCAGGGCCAGTGCTCTATGCACTGCGCCAGCTAGCTGCCCCCTCCCCAAGAAGATTTGAAGGTTAAGGTTTCTCCAGAATTCTTCTTTGGTTCCGGAGAGTGCCACTGACAACACTTTATTAATTATTTGCTAGCCACAATTAATAAAATTATTACTCAGAAATTATGTCTCTGGGACTTTCTCATTTGTTACATAACAAACTCAAGTTAATAGTAAAGTAAGCACACAACAGTATTGATAGCATTAAAGTATATAATAGTATTAAAGTCAGATATAATATAAAGGATACAATAACATTAACAGGGGTGACATACTAACAAATTCAAAGTAACTAATAAGTATACAATATGAAGTATGCAATATTAAAATAATATGCAATAGTATTAAGAGTTGACATAGACAAATACTAACAAACTCAAAATTAATAATAATAAAGTATACAAAGTAATTAACACGGGGAAGGAAGGGTTAGAGAATAAGCTCCAGGCACATCTGGCTAAGACGGCTATAGGGTTGGCCCAGGGATAATGAATTTTTCGGCCACGGCAGCTCCGAGATCTTCAGCGGAGGGAATACCCATATGAAGAAACCGCGGAGTCGGAGAAGCCAACTGTGGGCTGAAATAAAAGAAGAGAAAAGACAGCTTCATGGAGTCTGGCTTCACACCCATGAAGACCTCGGTTCGAATTTGACCTCGGATACATGCTGCTGTGAGACCCTCGACAGGTCCCTCAGCGCGTCGGTGCTCTAGGAACCTCTTTAAGACCAGACAGGTTGCTGATGGGAGGTCGCAGAAGAGATGCCGATCTGCAATGGGAGAAGGAGTTTCTTCACCCGGGAGTTTTCTATCTCCATAACACAAAACAAAAATAAAAAGCAAAGCTCCCTAATGAGACAATGAGGGCGGTCCCAAAACGGAATGGGCCGCTTCGGAGGGTCGCGGGCTCCCCAGCACAGGACAAGCACTACTGTGCTCGGGGTCAGGGTACCCCATGGCCCCTGAAGCGCCGATTCTACGTCCAGGGAGGGGTGGGGACTGGAAGGAGGCGCTGGGCGCATGCGCTACGCTCTCCCCTCCCCGCGGAGCACCCCGTAGCGAAGCTGGGCGGATCTGGGTCACTGGGAGAAGCAGGGAAGGCTGTGAGCCCCGCCCGCTCCCAGGAAAAGAGCCGCCGGCGGGCGGGAGTTTGCCTTACTCCATGGCCCGCAGGGCGTCCGGGTCCGACCCCTCGTAGGGGATTGGTGGAGGCGCGGGCCACGTGACTGAGGCGGAAATGAAGAGGACTGTGCGTAGGGAAGCATTTTGACAACAACAAACCCAGGTCAGAGCAGGAGGCGGAAACATGGCCGAGGCGGTGAAGGCCCCGCGTCGGACCAAGGCCAAGGCCAGCCGGACTAAAACCAAGGTAGGTCACCGCGGGCTTACGTCTTCCCCATTATGCGTTTCCCTCCTCTTCCGGGTGACTCCCGCCTACCTACCCCCTATACCCCGGCGCGTCACAGACGCTCCCCCTCCCCCCAGTGTCGGAGCCGTGACCCTCACCTGGCCCAACATCGGGGCCCATGCCAGCCCCCCAATCACAGACCCCGGCCCTCCTTCATCCCCCAATCACAGACGCTAACCCTCCCTCGCCCCCCAATCACAGACCCGGCCCTCCTTCACCCTCCAATCAGAAACCTCGGCCCTCCTTCACCCCCCCATCACAGACTCCGGCCCTTCCTCGCCCTCCAATCACAGACCCCGACCCTTCCTCGCCCACCAGTCACAGACCTCGGCCCTCCTTCACCCTCCAATCATAGACCCCGACTCTTTCTCAGCTCCCCCCCACACCTCACCCCCATC